AGCTGGGCACCCCCCGAGGCACCGCGGGCAAAGGAGCAGGAGGTGAGCCCTTAGGGTGCGTCCAGCTCTGCGCATCCCTGGGGACCACATCCTGCCCAGGGCTAGCGTGGCACTGAGTGGTGCCTTCACCAGTGGCCGTGCTCAGAAATGAGGGGTTATTCTGAGTCGGAGCAGAAACTGTGTCATCAAGGCCATTTGCCTTGGGAAATGGCCTTTTGGGAAATGGTGAGCTCAAAACACTGCTGTCTCAGCACTTCCAAACCACTTAGGAACTTTGCAGGCTCTATAGCAGCATGCTGGTATTTACCTTCTTTTTCTTACGATTACATCAATTTGGGCATAACACAATAGTTCAGGTGGGCTTTGGCCTTTGGATTTGTTTTAAAATAATTTAAGGGTAGCTTAATTTGTCATGAAATGGAAAACTCATTTCACAACATTTCATGTTGCAGCGGTGGGCATTTTTCAAACTCTTCATCCCACTTTTTTTAAAATTCAATACAATTTGGGGAAACATTTGGCTGTGTTGGGGTGGTTTTCCCCCATGAGCAACCATCTCAGCAGCAGCTGGGAGGCAGAGGGGACACAGCGGGAGGTCCCCACCAGCCAGGAGGGGACAGCTGCCCCCTTGCACTTCCACACAGCCCCCATGGAAGAGGCTTCCTTGTGCCCCGAAAAATCAAATAAGGTCCATGATGCCTCTGTGCTGGCAGGGTGACAGGCCCTGCCAGTAGTACTGGGGCCGGGCGCAACAGCATTTTCCTCATGGCTCACAGGCTTGTAACATCAATTAAAAGGGCCTGTTTATTTCTGTTGGCATCTAACGAAGATCTGGGGAGCCGCCCTGCTTCTGAAGGCTACTTTTCAGGGCTGTCAGTCAGGGAAATTAAGGTTCATTAAAAGGCAGCCGTTCGCCACGGCTGCTCCTGACAAAGCTCCTGTCCTCTCAGTGCCGCTGCGCCAGCCTGGCTGGGCACCAGGGCACAAGGGCTGTTCCCTCCCCAGATGCCCCACCCCACCCCAATTACCAGCGCTTCTGCTTCTCCCCATGCATGGAAGGGCACGTGGCCATTGGTACCGCAGGGCTTATGGCTGGGGGTCAGCCACCACTGGCTCTCTAAGTAGTGGCTAGTGAAAAATCGGTATTCCCATTAGACAGCCTTCTTCTGTTAGTTATCGGGGAGATAATGCTGATGGGGCCCAGTTTTTTAAACTCTTATTTACAAGTCCCACAATGACTTTACCTCCAGGGACATTTGCTGTGCCATCTCCTGCTTGCAGCACACCCGTTACCTGCCTTCATTGGCACGCGGACAAATTGCTGATGAGCCATTGAGGGGAGTATATAGGGCAGCCCCCAGTCTTCGTGCTGAGCTGGCTCCAAACACTGCCCAGACCTTCTGTGTGCTCCCCAGGAGAGGATTTGGGGGGAAGTGGGGGGAGCAGCTCTGGAGCTGCTCAGGTCTGACACTGTGCTCTCCTTTGCCCGCAGGATGGGAGCAAGCCTTATCCCCCAGACCTGTCCCGCAGCCCCCAGAGCCTAAGTGACACCGGCTACTCCTCTGACGGCATCTCTAGCTCGCAGAGTGAGATCACCGGCCTGGTGCAGCAGGAGGAAGAGAAGCTGAGCGGCACTGGGCTGGCTGGGCAAAGCCCCCCCAGCCCCTCCGAGCTCACCAAGCTGGAGAGCAGCATGCGGCCCCTCCTGGAAGGCCAGGGTGCCCCAGAGCCCACCGAGCGCAGCAAGGGTGGCCCGGAGCCACAGGAGGAGCAGCAGCACACGGTACCTCTCCATCACCCCTGAAGCCTTCGACTCGGATGAGGAGCTGGAGGACATTCTGGAGGAGGATGAGGACTCAACGGAGTGGGAGAACCAACGGGAGCGGCAGGAGAGTGCAGAGTCCTCGGATGAGTTCGGCAGCAAGCTGCGGCATGACTATGTGGAGGACAGCAGTGAGGGGGGCTTCTCCCCAGTGCCCCCCCGGCCCAAGGGCCAGGAGGCAGAAGCAGGCGATGAGGAGTTCATGCGAAGGCAGATCCTGGAGATGAGTGCAGAGGAGGACAACCTCGAGGAGGAGGAGGAGGAGGAAGGCTACGGGCACACCAAGTACAGCATCCCCAAAGCCGGGCAGAAGGCCGAGGCAGAGAAGGGCAAAGAGCCAGCATTGGCCAAGAGGCGCCTGCCACACGGCCCCAGCAGCCTGTACAAGGAGGAGAGGAAGGACCTGGAGGTGGTGGAGGGCGACGACTTGAGCACAGCCCAGGGTGGGCTGCGGCGTTTCAAGACTATCGAGTTGAACAGCACGACCAACTATGGCCGGGAGACGGAGATGGGCCAGGAGGCAGATGGCAGCCTGGACCGGGAGCCCGAGCTGGAGATGGAAAGCCTGACGGGCTCCCCCGGGGAGCGCTCCCGGGGCGAGTACTCCTCCACCCTGCCAGCCACGACACCCAGTTACACCTCAGGCACCTCGCCTACCTCCATCTCCTCCTTGGAGGAGGACAGCGACAGCAGTCCCAGCCGCCGGCAGCGGCTGGGGAAAAAAAGCTCGCCACCGCTCGCATGGCCCCTTGCTGCCCACCATTGAGGACTCGTCTGAGGAGGAGGAGCTGCGGGAGGAAGAGGAGCTGTTGCGGGAGCAGGAGAAGATGCGGGAGGTGGAGCAGCAGCGCATCCGGAGCACAGCACGCAAGACCAAGCGTGACAAGGAGGAGCTGAGGGCCCAGAGGAGGAGGGAGCGCTCCAAAACACCCCCCAGCAACCTCTCTCCCATCGAGGACGCCTCCCCCACTGAGGAGCTGCGGCAGGCAGCAGAAATGGAGGAGCTGCACCGCTCCTCCTGCTCTGAGTACTCACCCTCCATCGACTCAGAGGCTGAGAGCTTTGACGCCATGACCTCCAAGCTGTACAAGTCAGGCAGCGAGTACAACCTGCCCACCTTCATGTCACTGTACTCCCCGACAGAGAAGGAGGAGAGCGGCCCCAGCCAGCCTGCCAGCAAGCCCCTCAAAAGCGCTGAGGAAGCATACGAGGAGATGATGAGGAAGGCAGAGATGATGCAGAAGCAGCAGGTCCAGCAGGCCCAGACGGCTGTTTCCTACAGCAGTGCCTACCAACAGGTTGGCTACCGTGGCACCGAGGGCCAGAACGGCTTTGAGTACCAGTATGCCAAGGAGTACCGGTACGAAAGTGGCTCCACACGCCCCTCCCAGCCCAGCTATCCAAGCACCCTGCCAAAGGCAGGAGCAGTGTACGAGGAGATCCTGCAGACTTCGCAGAACATCTCCAGGATGCACCAGTCGTCCTCCTTCGACCTGGCCCTCGAACCAGGAGAGAAGGCAAAGGGGCAGGAGGAGGCATACCAGGAGAAGTGCTTCCTCAATGCCGAGAGCGCCTACGCTGACCTGATGAAGCAGAATGGTGGTCCGCTCACCCCTGGCACCAGCCCCACACAGCTCTCAGCTCCTGTCTCCTTTGCCACCTCCGACAGCAGTGCAGGCAAGGCCATTCCCGATGTCCGGGTCACCCAGCATTTTGCAAAAGAGGGGCAAGACCTAGCCAAGCTCCAAAGCACCCCAGCAGCACCTGGCCCAGTGTCCAAGGCTCCTGCCACTCCTTACACCCACAGCAAGGGCGCCAGCACAGTGATGACAGCGGCAGGTGGCCCTGTGAGTGTGCCACGGAGCTACAGCTCCGCAGCTCCAGAGGCCCCATCCATAGCTGGCAGAAGCTACAGCCCGGTGAAGAGCACCATCAGCTATGGCTCGCAGACAGAGGATGCCAGCAGAAGCAAGGTAGCAGTGGAGATCAGCATGCAGACAGTCAGGGAGAAGATCCTGGCTGCGAGTGACAGCAAGCCCCCACCACCCAAGACATACCCCTTCTTCAAGAGCTCCAGCCCTCCGCTCTCACCCACCTCCCCCACACAGAGTCCCACCCATTCCACAAAGGCCACGGCAGAGTTTTCCACGCAGACGCAGAGCCCCCTCCTCCCCTATGAGTGTCCCACTGCCGCTGCTGCTGGCCCCGCCACATCTTCCCCCATGGTGGCGCCGGGGACCCCAGGCGGGCTCACCGCGCCTGGCCCGACAGCATTCCTCGCAGGATGTCCCCTTCATGCTGATCACGCTGGCGGCCGATGCAGCCCGCCCAAACCAGCTGGCCAGCTCCACCTCCTTTCAGTCCCCCACCTCATCCCCCCCGAGGCC